TGTCCGTTTTAGATAAATCACCAGGTTACAAATCAGAAGAAAGTTTAAAAGGGGAAGAATTGGGGGGCCCTGGAGAGAAATGATAAAACATCACGAAGACAAAGCCAAGGAGAGATTAGCCAGCTGTGGAGATGGACTTGATGTGGCAGGGGAAGGCAGAAGTCAGGGCCTGGGTTCCTGGCCGTGTCATGGGCAGAGGTCAGGGATACCGAGGGCAGGCCAGGTGTGAGAGGAAGCTGGTGGATTGATGGGGGTGGGGGCGTGGCTCAACAGGTATTCAAGTTTCACACAAAGAAGTAAGTTTACAAACTAGTGATAGAGTGAGGAGATTGCTGGTTTTGTCCTTTTTTTTGGTACCGGGGATCAAACTCGGGTCCTTGCACTTGCACAGCAGGCGGCAAAACCACTGAGCTAAATCCCTGGCCCCGGGTTTTGTCCTTTTATCCAGAGGACCACCTTGTGTATTGACAGTGGACCTCAGAGGATTTCAGTAGGGAATTCCCAAACTCTATTGTGCATCAAAATTACTCAGGGAGCTAACTAGATGGGGACATTGCAGGCCCTGCTCCCAAACTGCCTAGTCCTATTTCTGGGCAGGACAGGAAGTCCTAGGACCTGAAATCTAGCTGGGCTCCTGGGGTGCCTGTGCCACGATCTCCAGCATCCTAAGTTTGGAGGTCACCAGAAGCACTGGCCCTGCAGTTTCCAAACCATCTTTCCATGGTACCTGGAAGGCCAGACCTGCTTCCTGGGCGGCGGGGGGTTATGGTTGTACTGGGGATTGAGCACAAGGCTTCTGTACTGAGCTATATCCCCAGCCCTTTCTCTATATATTGAGATAGGGTCTCACTAAGTTGCCCGGGTGGGGCTCAAATTTACAATCCTCCTGCCTCAGTCTCCCAGAGTGCTGGGATTACAGCTGTGCACACATCTGGCTCAGACCCGTATTTTGTTTTTTCCTTCCTGGTATTGGGGATCAAACTCAGGACCTTACGCTTGCCAGGCAGGGACAGTGCCACGGAGGTAAATCCCCGGCCCTCTACCTGTTCTTAACAGTGTTCTCTAAGCGACTGCCCATTCTCTCCTTCACCCATTCGTGGATGAGGCTCAGAAACTTTCATCCCAGTACCTCATATCTAGCAAACTCACACATTCACTGCCCTCTTCTGGACCAGGTCTTTACCTTGGACTGTCCCTTCCCTCACCTGCCTCTAACCATTGCCTGCCTTTTCCTGACATGGTATCTGAAACACAATACACATTTAAGAGATACTTATTTGACTCAAATGAAATACTTACTTTTACACTTCTCTTTTGTCAGGCAGAACAAAGGTCTTCACCCATGGCTTTGTCATTCTGTGTTCTCAACTTGAGCTTCAATGCCTTTGGTCAATGCAGTCTTTTGTGACTGGCATGAGGCTCACTCTTCTCCAAGCAGAACATATCCTTGCTGTCTCCTGAGAGTCCCTATTGTATTTGCAGAAAGTACACTGTGTGACGAAGAGCCAAGCTCCGGAGCCAGGCTGTCTGGGTTTGAATCTCTGCTCAGCTACTTTCTAGCTATTGTAGTGGGCAAGTTATTTAACCACTCTGTCTCAGTTTTCTCATCTGTAAAATAGGGATACTAATAAGACTAATACCATAAGAGGATTGTTGTGAAGCAGGTAGATATTGTGAAGACAATATTAACAGTTGTAAAGATAAAGGGGTGAAGAGGGACAATAACAGTATCTACCTCCTAGAGTTACGGAAATCAAATGAGTTAATATACATGCTTAGAACAATGTCTGACATAGTGTTGAGTGGATGCTACTTATCAGATGTACAAGCAAATAGTAACAGATGGGAAGAAAGACAATAATGAATGCATGTACCAGATGCAGAGGCAACTCCAAGTAAATGATTAACTTTATGAGAGTGGGACGAAGAATGCAAGATGGACTGAAGTCTCCACAGAAAGCTGAAGCTTATGAGAAAGTTTCCAAAGACAAACAGGCATCTGTTAGGTAGCAGGGGGTAACTCAGGAAGGAGGAACAATAGATGGAGACAGACATTACCCAGCTTTGTCCTCCACTCCATGGTTAAGGTGTGAAAGGGGAGGAAGTGGGTGAGAGGAACGCCAAGAGGCAAACAGGAAGTAGGCAGGGCTAGGAAATGGAAGGCTACTGTGGCATCATTTCCAGTAATTAGGATGAACAGTGGAATGGTCAACCCTGTGCAACAAGGACCCTCTCGTTTCTGAAGTGCTAGTAACAGGATGGAAAGCCACCTGCACCGAGTAGCTGGACAAGATGGTTTCTAAGGCTCGCTTTGACTCTTACTGGCTACATGTGAGGGGCTGGGGAACATGAAAAACCGTGTGTGCAAACTCATGGACATGAATGTTGGGTCTGAATGGGGCTTTGTTGTTTTGCTATTTGACACATGAAGAGGAGCTGGCAGACACAAAGCTACACAAACATGGACAGACCAGCTGAGGGAGGCCAGACTTTAAGGCTAAGACAGAATTTTATTTTGTACGAAGGGAGAAAGCACTGAAATGCTTCAACCACTTAATGCTAAGACTGCCATAGGCGTTTTGAGGAGACTGAAAGAAGAGACCCATTAACTTATTAGGAGATTATTTATAGAATTAGAGATGTGATAAGAACCTTATCCTAGGGTTAGCAGCATTGGAATGAAGAGAAAGGACTATGATGATTGTAGGGAGGAAAAAACCAGGACAATTACCGGGATGAGGTTTACTTTTTCACACATACTTCCTCACCTCACAAGACATCTAGGCCATGTGGTCCAGGCTCCCACCAGGCAGGGAACCCAGGGGAGGTCTTCTATTCTCTGTCAACTGTTTCTCATCTGTCACAGGTATTACTAACACCTTCTTCACAGACTGCGGTAAGGAATAATTTATAAAAACCACTTGAAAGGAGCCAATCGGGCTGGTAGAGTGAGGCCATGCGTCAGTTATTGTTATCATCACTTGGAAAACCCACTTCCTCTACAACCTCAAGTATGAAAACTTTACCTCAGACAACAATCTCTTTCCATTACAGAATCTGCCCAAGACTTGATGCTAGTTAGATACAGATGACGGCAGAGAAAACTCAGGTTTTGACTCTAAGAAACAGAAATTTTGAGACAGCAACAATAAATGGGAAAAATATACAAGTTTGAAACACATAAAAAGTCCAAGTGTAAACGTTCTGTAGTCCGATGGAGACCCATGTGGAACCTGGGGGAGAGATCAGTACCACATGTGCACAGAGGCAATGGCTGAAGCCCGGGGAATAAATGGGTTCCAAGGACAACAGTATAGAATGGACACGGTGATAACATGGTAAAACGTCAAGGAGTGGCCAGTTAGGGACTGAAAAAAGAATGATCAGCACAGGAATGATCTGTAGAACCAAGTGAGCAGAACGTTACATAAGTAATTTCAAAACATTATTTTAGCCAGGTGTGGTGATGCATGCCTATAATCCCAGCACTTAGGAGGCTAAGGCAGGAGAATTACAGTGAATACAAGGCCAGCCTGGGCTACATAGTGGGTTCAAGGACAGCCTGAATTACAAGGCATGATCCTGTCTCAAAAAACCTAAAGAAAGGTTTTTTTTTTAAGTAAAATGTTCACCTACTGGTCACGATCAATTGCAGGCTCCTATCAGATGATCTGAAGTGCTTACCCTTTTGGGGTGGCTTCAGTGTGCGTGAGTGCTTCCACAACTGAGCAGAGAAGGGGCTGATCCTTCAGGTTCACCTAGAGGTCTCATCTGTTCAGCACTCTCCCAGAGCCTCTCTTAAGGTGACTATGGTATTGCCCAACCCAAGCTGTCATCGAGAACCTCCTCTTTCATATATATATATCCTGTCCTCCTAAGACCTAGTTCAACTTTATCTTCTCCTAGAACATTTTCTAGCTATACCATTACTACTTTTTCCTGCTCTGTTTAAAAAATGTACTCTTGGGCCAGGGATTTAACTCTAGTTTCGCCACCTGCCTCACAAGGGCAAGGACCCGAGTTCAATCCCCGGTACCAAAAAAAAAAAAAAAAAAAGGGACTCTTGCCCCAGAAATGATGATAGAGTAACCTGGGGTTTAAAAGCCAGCATCATGACTAATAAGCAGCTTAGTGATTCTAATATGGATAGTTCACCATCCACATCTTGAGAAACAAAGTCAAACTGTATGTGACAAATGCTAACAGCCAATATAATCAGTTTCATTCTAGCTTTGTGAAATTAGAAACCTGTATTAGATGACCAATTACCATTTATGATTTAAAACTTGTTCAAAAAGGCCAGAGTCCCAGATGTTTTCTCCATCAGATTTTCAACCTAGCCTCCTCTGCGGTTTTAACATCCTTCTATGAATAACCCAACCGAGAAATCTAAATGTTACCCAACAACCAAGTACTCTTTTCAGGGACCCTATACCCAGTAACACCTTCCTGTTTTTGGTTGTTGGTCTTTTTTTTTTTTTTTGGTACCGGGGATCGAACTCAGGACCTTGCACTTGCGAAGCAGGCAGTGGAACCACTGAGCTAAATCCCCACACACAGAATGAGCCACAGCTCCTAACATTCTTTTTTGGTATCAGGGATTGAACTCGGGACCTTGTGCTTTCAAGGCAGGCGGCGGCACCACTGAGCTAAATCCCTGGCAAAGAATGATACAGTATTTCTTGCCTGTTTTTTTGGTACCGGGGATCAAACCCAGGTCCTTGCGCTTACACAGCAGGCGGTGAAACCACTGAGCTAAATCCCCGGCCCTCATAACATTCTTTACATGGGAGTAACTCTGTCGATGGTTTATGTTGATTTGTGATAGTACAGTATCAAGAGGAATATGATGGAGGACAAAGGGAAAAAGAAACCTCGTATTTGTAACTGAGAAATGATTGTCAAAAAAAATTTAAAGATTAACTTTCAGATTCCACTTATAGTCAGTGTTCTAACTGAAATAAATTTGGCCCCTGCACAAACACACACTCAATTTCCTCTTCTGAAAAACTATTCTGTTTAATAGTGCACTTCATTTATGCTACAGGATGAGCAGGGTTGGGAAAACAATGGAAGGTCATCCCTCAGATTAGGAAAATTTAGGGAGTGCCATTCTAACCCTGCAAGGAGCCCCGTCACCAGGTTTAGGCCACAGCCTTCCTTCTCTGGGCTCTGCTCTTTACCTGCATTAATCCTTGGCTGTGGAAGTCAGAAGTGGAGTTAGGAGAGGTCCGGCTGCCGGGGCCAAGAGGTAACAGAGGGCAGGAGAGGCTGGCTGAGTGGGCTCCTTGAAAGCATCCTTAATAACTAGAAGTTAGAGTGAATCACTTGTCATCACAGGAGTGGAAGAGGAAGACAGGGCAGCAATCAGAAGCCACTGCTAAATGCTTCTGACCTGCACCCCCAGGTTATTCACTGCTCAGTTGGATTTCCCAGTCAGTACAGGGAACACAGGAGGCTCTGCCTACAGTACTGCCAGACTGCTCCTGGAAACATCATGTTGCTCCAAAAGCCCTACAGGATACAGTCATCACAGAAATCCTTTTTGGGGTCATTTTCCCCTCTTCAATAAAAGAATAAACCCCTCAACACCAAGTTTCCTTAATTAATGAAATCATAAAACACAACAGCATGTTCCTTGTCAAATCTTAAATCTGGACTGGGGACAGTGACTTCAAAATACAGCCTCTACTCCCCTTCCTAGCAAATAGCAGGACCCAAAACATTCTTTCCACTGCCCTTTGTGCTCACTACACTGATTCCAACTAGTGGAATCATTGGAATTTTATTCCTACTAATCTTCCATCCCCACGTTGGAAAGAAAGGCTCTCTGGCATGAGAAAAAATGGTTTAGTGCAAACTCCCTCCCAAAAAAGTGTGAATGGTCCTGTGCCCAGCACTTAATTGGTGATTTGCCTCTCAAGTTTTGAAGGCTGGTGTCATTCTAGGTAATCCACTAGGTTTCTGATCACTATGCCACGATGATGCGCCCTATCTGCCCCATTCTCTAAAGGGGAAGGTTTGAGGTGGAAGGGACACAGCTTAAGTTGCTCACACTTATAAAATAAGGCAAGAGCTCTTTAGACTCGGGAAGTGAGGAAAACAGGTATGCGCCTCTTTCATGTAGACTCTCTGATATTTAATTCAGCAGTAACTCTGAGAGAACTTTTGCTCATACCCATTACATTCAAAGGCTTCTCTCCAGTGTGAATCCTCTGATGGCGAACAAGAGCTGAACTATACCTGAAGGCTTTTCCACACTCACTACATTCATAGGGATTCTCCCCTGTGTGGATTCTTTGATGCTGAATAAGGCCTGAACTATAGGTAAACTTTCCTCCGCACTCCATACATTCGTAGGGCTTCTCTCCAGTGTGGATTCTCTGGTGCTGATAGAGATGTGAGCTCTGGCTGAAGGCCTTCCCACACTCATTACATTCATAGGGCTTTTCTCCAGTGTGGATTCTCTGATGATGAATAAGGGTGGAGCTCCTACTGAAGGCCTTTCCACACTCATTGCAAGCATAGGGTTTCTCACCAGTGTGGATTCTCTGGTGGTGAGTAAGAGTGGAACTCCAGCTAAAGGTTTTCCCACACTCGTTACATTCATAAGGTTTCTCCCCAGTGTGGATCCTCCGATGTAGAATGAGAGCAGAGCTACAACTGAAGGTCTTTCCGCAATCATTACATTCATAAGGTTTCTCCCCAGTGTGGATTCTCTGATGCTGAATAAGATGTGAGCTCTGACTGAAGGCCTTCCCACATTCACTACATTCATAGGGCTTTTCCCCTGTGTGGATTCGCTGATGTTGGATAAGGTCTGAAGTTCGATTAAAGCTCTTGCTACATTCATCACATTTATGGGGTCTGTCTCCCATAGGAAGTCTCTGATGTGAAATAAGGTTGGAACTCACAGTGAAGCTGTTCCCAAACTCACTGTATTTCTCATTTCTCTCTCCCATGGGGGAGAGCTTTCCCTCAACTGTCACCTGACCGAAATCTTGTATTTTCCTATTCAATCTTTTCCCAGAGGAGTTCCCTAGCTGCCTCTTTAGACTGACTTCTTGTTCATAGGCTTCTTCAAATTTAAGACCCTGAGAAATATCCTTCTGGAATCTTCCCAATAGCATCCCACATGATCCTGTATCTTCCGAAATTTCTTGATCGCGTTCAGTCCTGGATTCACCATCTGGCACAATAAAAAAAAAAGCAAATGTCACTTATTCCTTGTGAAAAAAAGAATGAAAGTCTGAGACAAGATAATCAATACGACTGATTTTTACAGCACTAAAAGCATATGCCTTTTACATGACTGAAAAGAGGCCTACCTTATATGCATGTAGCTATGCCAAAGTAAGATAACTGGCCTAAGGAATGAAAAGGAACAAGGTAGAAAGGAAAATCAAGGAGAAAAGAGCTGATGAAACAGAAAAAGCAAAAGATGTCAGGAGGGAGGATGGATCAGGCAAGTTGAGAATGAAAACTACAGGAGAAAAGACATATTGTTTAACAAGTGGTAAAGTCTTCAGAGAGGTCAGAGGTTATAAACATAACTGGGGGAATGGTGGCTGCAAGAACAGCTTAAGGGAGAGCAAATACAAGAAACTAACACATTGTTGGTGGGAGTATAGACTGGTGCAACCACTGTGGAAATCAATATGGAGATACCTCAAAAAACTAGGATTAGAGGTCCCATTTGACCCAGCTATTCCCCTGCTGGCTATCTTCCCAAAAGAATTAAAAGAATCATACCACACCAATAAATATATGCTCACCCATGTTTACAGCGGCACAGTTTGTAATAGCTAAAGCTTGGAAACAGCCCAAGTGCCCATTAACTGGAAAGTGGATAAAGAAGATGTGGTTTTTTCATAAAATGGAATACTAGTCAGCCATAAAGAACGAAAACTAGAGACATTTATAGCTAAATGGATGCACACTGAGGACATACTATTTAGTGATATAAACAGGACACACGTGTAAATACTGAATAGTTTCTCTGGGGTAAGACACTGAAAGTGTAAATAAGGATTAAAATGAATAACTGATAATGTGAAATAGGAAGAAAAGGTCCAAAGGGGTAGGGGAAGTGGGAGGGGTAGGGGAAAGGAAGAAGCAAAAGGAAAAAAAATATGAGAAAAGGAAAAAATGGAAACAAAGTCTTTGTAAATAAGGAGGGGTGGAGAGGTTGAAGGGAGGGCAGGGGAAGGGGGAAAAAATAAGAACCAAGATACATCACGTAAAGATACAAGTTCCTAATGATAATGTAAATGTATTGTATACCTAAAAGGTACCAATAAAAGAATTTAAGCAGGAGAAAAAGAAAAAGAAACTAACAAAGACGGCTGAAGAGAAAAGTGAGCAGGGTGATGATGAAGAGCAGCACAGTGGGAAGGAGCAGGAGGGTAGAGACACGAGGGACTCCTCAGAGCCCCAGGCCAGCAGAACCATCCTGTCTGTAGTCCCTCTGCATATGCCAGACCCACAGCAACAGGCAGGGTAGAGTTTAGTCCACCTCTAAGCTCCAGGTCAGAAGGCTATGCTCGAGTGGGAGGCTATGAAAACAAACTCAGTATTTGACTTCTCTATTTTTCACTACTTCTGGAGGTAAGTGTGAAGGGTCTAGATAGCAGTTATAGTTTGTTTTTCATTTTAAAAAGAAGACAGGGCAATGAGTGTCAGAGACAAAAACAGCTGTTTTTCTCTCACCTGAACAGGACCTCTCTTCTCAGTTCCCTTCAACCAGGACCCTTGGCCCTTCCTCATGACATCCAAGAAATCATGTCAGGATTCCAAAATGGGCAAGAGACATGGAGTGAGGAAGCTCATCCTGCTCAAACTGAGCACAATCTAGATCCCAGCTTTGCAGGTTGACAGAAAGGAAATGTACATACAGGGAGGTCTCAGTTGGGGGTTAGTAAGACTCCCTGGCACTGTTCAGGAAAATGTTCTCACTGAAAGTGGGATGAGAAACAAGGAATCAATCCTAAAGTTTAAGGAGGCCAGCTCTCCTTAAACAAGTTTACATTTCTGTAAAAGCACCAGGTGCCCTGAGCCTAAACAAAGCAAGAGGTCCCTAGGGGGAATCCAACAGACAAGAGGAGGAGGAGACAGAGTCCCAGAATGTTCACTCATAGAGCAGCACCTTATATGTTCACGTGAATCTTTTAGAAAAGCTCCTGGGTTACACATTAAGTCTGGAGCACACATGGAAAAAGTACTCAATCTGGAGTTAAAAGACTGAGGCTCAAGCTGTGCCACCCAGCAGCTCTATGACCATACACAAGGCATTTGAGATCTCCAACCTCACTTTCCTCTCCTATAAAATGAGAGTAACGCTAGCTACCCTGACTACAGTGTCACTGTGATGAGTAAATGGATATAGATTACTGTACAATTACTGTACAAACATCAGTTTTGGTTACCTTTGTGATTAGAATTTCCCAAGACCGAGCTGGTGAATCTCTAGCTACTTGTTCACAGTGACAACACTGCTACCAACAATGAAAGAAGCCAAGAAACCATAGAGTTCCTTACCCAGCGAGAACACATTCCCATAGTTCTCCAGCATCACATCCCTGTACAGGTCCCTCTGAGCAGGTTCCAATCGCTTCCACTCCTTCCGGATGAAGTAGACAGCTACATCCTCAAATGTCACCAACTTCTGAAACAACATGACCACACATGCAATTTCAGAGTGAGGGTAGGGAATGGCAGCACCAAAAAAATCAATTCAAGTTGGGGCTGAAAAATGCCTTTTGGCTGGGGGTGGGGTCACAAGCTTGTAATTCCAGGACTCAGGAGGCTGAGGCAGGAGGATCACCGTGAGTTCAAGGCCAGCCTGAACTACATACTCAAAAAATAAATAAATTTTAAAAATGCCTTTTTGGGAAGTGGGGAAAGGAGGTCACAGCAGAGGATGAGAGACAGGAGTCCATGATAGAAGGCAAAGGTCCATTATTCAGTACGAAAGGCTCATGGCCCTGATGGACAGATTCAGAAATTAGGGCACTGAATGGGACGGCACTGAACAAAACTGTCTACAAGGAAGGAAAAGGATGAAGGAACCACAGCTCACCTGGGACTTGGCCTTCAGGAGAGCAGCTGCCAACATCTCGTCCCCCAGACTGTCCTTGTTGGAAAAGGCAGGAACTTTTGAAGCAGGAAGGGCTGAAGGACAATCAAAGGGCCCCAGAGTGAGTCTCCCTGCTCTCTGGCCTCCGCTCACTCTTCTCAGTGATGCTGCCCAGTTCTGTCTTTCGTGACTGCTGTGTTCTTACCCCGTCCCCCAGCTGGGCCAGGTACAGGCTTCTCTCTCACATCCCTTCCATCATCTTTCCGTATCTGTGAACTCAATCTCCTGCATGAAGTTCTTAGACAGGTAAACGAGCAGCTTCACCCCAGCCCTGACTAAAAACACAACAACCAAGAGCTTCTCCCTTTCTCCACCCCCAGAGGGAACCTATACACTACAAATGTTTCCTGTTTCTGTGCTAACCACAGAACTCTCCTTGTAATCTGTAAGATTACACATATGTTTCACAAACTCCATGCCGCTACACATAATAGATTTTAACAAAGAAGAGCCTTAAATGCTCTTTCCTGAAAAGCAAGGAAACAACACCCATTAAGAATGAAACGAGTGGGCCAGGGATTTAGCTCAGTGGTTCCGAAGCTGCCTGCCTCACAAGTGTAAGGACCCGAGTTTGATCCCCAGTACCAAAAAAAAAAAAAGAATGAAACTAGCTTGAAACTCAAGGACACAATCTATAAAAGCAAAATACATTTTAGTGGCTTCCTAGCTACTTTATGCTTCTGTATTTGATCTACAAAGTGATGTCCAAAAGGCTAAAGAGCACAATCTATGACTACAAAGTCTGCCTGAGAAATAGAATTCAGTGTTGTCAGTTCTGCATGAGGTGCCCAAAACCTTTCAAAAATGCCTGTTACAAAACTTCTCAACCTGCTCATTAACAACTGTGTCAGTCAGCTTCCCCCCAGGAGACTATGAGTTACTGAATAGAAGGAGTGTACCTCAGCACCTCTGGATTCTAGTTAATCTAACAGCTACTAATGAGAAATTTCACCAGATGACTACTGAATGACTGAATAAAATAAACAAATCCTCATTCCTCACCACTCTCAAGCAGGGCCTGAGGTTCCTGAGATATATGATCAGTCTGAGTTTCCATGGGTAGGGTGAGATGTTCTGGTCTCTGACCTCCCGACTGCGGACTTGGCAGGAAGCAGGTTTTGAATGAGGATGAGGAAGCACTGGAGAAGCAAACGTTCAGACAATTTAAGACACCTCCTGTATACAGAAAGAGAGCAATTAGCATCTCAGTTAATACTCAACAGCAACAGCAAACAGCAACTGGGACTGGACTCCTAGATCCTGGTGAACATGTTCACCCATTCCCTGTAATGACACTGCAGAGGGACACATGAAGGGCCTAGGTTTCCCTCAATGTCCCACCTCTGTCCCCCTGAACACTCTATTCATAAAAACAGAAAGTGTTTGTGTTCATCTGAATGAAAAGCCTCAATGTCCCACCCCTGGCCCCCTGAACACTCTATTTATAAAAACAGAAAGTGTTTGTGTTCATCAGAATGAAAAGCCTAAGCTCAGTTGCTGTGCTTCCTCTTACAAAGAAGCCAGTAGCTTTTCTTTTTATCACTCTGTTCTCTTTGAATCAAAATATAAGTCCCTGAAGCACAGGCCAATTTTTTATTTTTTTGTACCGGAGATCAAACTCGGGTCCTTGCGCTTGGGAGGCAGGAGGCAGAGCCAGAGCTAAATCCCAGGCCCCGGGCCAATTTTTTTTAAACATAAGATTCTTTATTACCCTACTTTTATAAGTACAAATATCTTCATTTCCCAGGTGATACCATAATTGACAGAGGTCTGTTCTCTGTAGCTCTAGCAGATAAAATATAGTATTAATACTTAAGAGTATGGTTTGAATCTCAAGTAGAAGTTTCTACTTTAGACTGACCAGAAGGCTGTGGCAAGATCAACACATCCCAAAGAGATCCAACAGCCATGAGAACAATTAAGAGCATGGGAAGGGAGGGGGACAAAAAACTCCCTCAAAAACTCCCTCTGGGTTTTATCTATGTAGTCATTCATTCACATAACAAACATTTAGTGCCAACCACATTGCAAGGAGTAAAACAATTGGAAAAGCAAAGACTATTTTGTATTACAGTGTTACATTCTCACAAGGCACTAAATGGAGAGGGGACCTGTGAGTCACTTGAAAGTTCAGAAACGTCTAGTGACTAGTCTTGGGCAGCAAGGAGTACAGCTTCCTAATGCCAATGCCATTACACAGTGGAAAGCACGACTAAGGTACAGCCTGCCCAAAGGGCAATCAAGGTGATACACTTGTTACCATTGCCCTCCAGCTGGATCCCTTCAACTGCTCTCTTGGAGCCAGCCAGCCATCGCTTTTACCTTCAGAACTAACAAGTGTTTCAGGGTAGAACGCCCCAACAAATCATCTCTTAGGACAAACTCTCCTCAGAAGGGGGTGCAGCAGCACACATCTGTAGGCCCAGGTACTTGGGAGGCTGACAAAACCCCACTTCTCCTTAGAAAGACAAGTCAAAAGCTCTGACTCCACAGAAAAAAGCACTGCTCTCTTTCCTCACAGCGGTTAAGCAAAGCTGGTACTCAAAGGCATATTGGTGAGAACAAGTCCCCAGTGTCTGGATCAGCAAACAATGTTTCTGATAGAACCCCCCCAAGGGCCCCAACACCTTGGGTCCAGGCAGAGCCCTTCCCCTTCCCTGCTGCCAACCCTACTCCCGGGAGCCCTGGGAAATAAGACCACCTGGCAGTGAGAACAGCCCATGGAGATTTATCTGCCAGATCCGTTCCTTCCTTTGAAGTTAGTCCCCAGAAGGCCAAAGTAACAACAATTGGGAATATGGCAGCCTCTGTTCAAGTTCCTGTGAATTCTCACTTTTGGCAATGCCAATGCTGCATGATTTGGGCAGGGGGGTGTATAAGCTTTATTTCTAATCTAGATTATTTAGAGGAGAGAGGACTTTATGGGGGGGGGGGTACTGGGGATTGAACCCAGGGCCTTTGCACTGAGCTATCCTTTTTTTAATTTTGCGAAAGGATCTCGATAAATTGTTAAAATTGCCCAGACTGGGCTGGATCTTGCAATCCTCCTGCCTCAGCCTCCCAGAGTGCTGGTATTACAGGCGTGTGCCACCACACCCAGATTTAAATACCTATTAAGACTTGCACAACTGACATTTTCTTTGCATCTGGAGAGAGCTGAAAGGGAACAGAGGGTTGACTAGGTCAACCTCCACCCAGGGTATGAAGTTCCCATTGTTCTGTCGGCTAACTTGCTAGACACAGTTACTTTCACAGGCAGACTGCTCCAGCAATCCAGGACTCAGCCAAGAGAGGTGGTAACTACATCCCATCCCATCAAACCTACGCCTCAGAGACCTAGTCATTTATGTAGCTTCAATGACACTCCCTCCACACGACTGTCCATCAAACACTTGAAACCAAATGATGCCCACTCTCCAAAGAGGTCTGCACTGGAAGAAAAAATACCTTTAGTTCCTAATTATTCCATGGGTTTCAAGCTCATCACCCTGGAGCTCACACATAGCCTTCAGGGAACAAACACAGCTGTGTTAGTGGTACTTCTAAGACAGACCAAAACAGAGATCAATACGATGGAAAAGGGGAGCCAGAACCAGCTGTCTCTCTTCTAGTAAAAGACGCGACTCACTGGGGTGCAGCAGGATCACTCGGAATGCGAGTTCGCACCTGCCCCCAGCCCTAGTTCTAACTGCGTCCCAGAACTGCTCATTCAGACCCAAGCTCGGACCTGGCTAAATTAGAAATAATCTTCCTCTCCTGCCACAAACGCCAAACACTAGAACCATCAAATGAAAGCGTCCGGGAGAACTACTAAGTTAGGGTAGCCGTCAGATATTTTAAAGAGGAACCCCTTAAAGGCGATTCTGGAACTTTCGGGGTGCTGTTTACGTCACAAAACCAGAACCGGAACCCTTTCCTCCCCCTCGCCACTAAGGGTCCCGCTGTGTGTAGGTGGGGACGGGGAGGGGGGAGCCTGGAGGAAGCGGAGTCAGGAACCGGCCGCAGGGGAGGGAGGGCGCCCCCCGCACCCCGCTCCGGGCGGGCTTGGGGATCCCGCGGGCCGCAGAGGCACGGACACCACCCCTTCCCCGGCGACCACAGCCTCCGCTCACCGCGAGCCCCAGGGATGGCCCGACTCACCCTGGGGGCAGAGACGGGAGATTTGGGGGACCAGACACGCACCAGGCCCTGTCGGACCCTGTCTCAGACCCACACTCCCTGGATAGAACAAAGAACGGAAGTTCTCCCCACTATCGCTTCCGGGTCGTCCTTTTCACTAACCACCCCACCACTGTGCTCCCAACGCCCACTTGTTCTCTCTAGGAAAATGGGAGGTGCTTACCTCTCGGTGGTTTACGGGCTCACCCACGGAGAGAGCCCAGGGCCCAAAAGCTGAAGCGGCACTTGAGGCGAGGCCTGTCTTCCTCGACAAGCTGGCCGGTGGCGCCCTCTGCTGGCCTTGTCAGGCCAGGCGCCGCTCAGGGGCGGAAGAGGGGTAAAGGCGGCCCTTGCTCGACAACAGGGCCCATGCTTGGGCGCTGGACTCCGGGTCGCGCCACCCCTTCTCTGAGCCTGTCCCAGGTGCGTGAAGCAAATCGTGAACTACTCTGGGAGGCTAAAGCGCAAGGATCACAAGTTCGAGCCCAGCCGGGACAATTTAACGATTTAGCAAGACCCTATCTCAAAAAAGTTAAAATGAAATGAAATAAGGAAGAGCTAGCTCAGTGTGAAAGCCTGGATTCAATACCCAGTATCGAAAACACACACACACACACACACACACACACGCACACACACACTTGAAGAATTTGTGTTTGCAAAAGCAGGCCCTCACAGTGATGTGTCCTTGCAATCCCAGCGCACAGGAGGCTGAGGCAGAAGGATTGCGAATTTGAGGCCAGCCTAGGCTACATACAGAGACCCTGACTTAAAAAAAAAATCAAAAAAGAAGTGTTATTTAAAATTTGCTTCCAAACAGACCTAAGGTTTTTATTTTTGTTTGTTTTTTAATGTAAAAATGCCCCATTTGAGTAAGTAGAGCCTGAAGAAACCATTCCAGCACAAGTTCTGTGCAAGGGTTGAGAACAGAAGAAAGCAAGTTATGGGGAGAAGGAAAAGAGGGAAGCCCTGGCAATGTCAGGATTTGAGGGGAGTCAGTGAGGGAACAGGCCTTGGGTCATTCATGGTTTGGGGTTTTTTTTCCTTTAATTACTAGGGGATTGAACTCAGGGCCTTCACACTGAGCTACTTCCCCAGCCCTTTTTTATTTTTTATTTTGAGACCAGGTCTCTCTAAATCACTAAGTTGCCCAGGCTGGGCTTGGACTCGACATTCTCCTGCCTCAGCCTCCCAGAGTGTGGGGATTATAGGTGCTGCCATGCCCAGCTAACAGGCACACTTGTTTCCCCTCATAGCCAAGCCGCCTTTTGAACCCCATTCTCACTGCAACCAGTATTGATTGTGCACTCATAGGCCCGGAAACCAACAATCTGTAGCCTCCAGTGACTTCCATCTTAGGAGAGTAATTGAAACAATCAGTTCCAGTATAACTCGATGTGTGCCAAAAGATGTTGAGGAAGACCAGGGCCATGTGGGAAGGTGAGAAGACTTTCCAGGGTGCCACTGGTCCATGAAGGGAGAAGAATGTTCTAGGCAGAGGGAGTTCAGCAGGCAGGACAGGCAGCCAGGGAAAAGCCAAGCCCAAGAGGGAGTCAGGGTGACCCAGTGAGGGAAAAGACAAGATGAACCTGAGACAGAACCCAAACAAAAAGCCAGGACCCGGGATGGAGACACCAAGGTCGAGGCCAGGCCTCCCATAGTCTGTTGAACAAGGGTTCCCATGTTATACCAGTGGGATCCTCCTGCCCAGGAATGTGATAACGACAAGGTGACAGATAAGTGGTATACCAAGCCTCTATCGAGATTCTCGGAAGAATGTCTGTTCTGCTTGTGCTGATAATTTTAGAAAAGTTACAATTACTGTTGCTTGCTACATGTCCCGGGTTTCTATAATCCCACTTCTAGTCAAACTTGCCTGCTGGTAACCCCATAGCTTGGCCTCAGCTTGGCTCAGAGAAGTCTGAGATGTAGTCATTTTTGTGTATGCAAACCCTGAGACCCATGGTGGTGAACCTTTTAGAGATTTTAATGATACGAACAGCCCACTGTGGCACAAGTGCCATAGGTTCGCCACCACTACCCTAGACAGAGTCCCCATGGGAACCCACTTTCAGGAGCTTTCCTCTATTGAACGTTCTTCTTACTTTTCTGCACCATCCTCCAGTCCATTCTTCGGCCTCAGGAGGCACCAATTTAGTTTGTGTGTGTACCTCATAGCAGGACCAGTCAGTGCAAAGGCCCTGAGGTAAAAGAGAATAGTGCACAAGTAACGAGCAAAACTCAGGATGAGATAGGTGTGGCAGTGCACCCTGTAATCCCAGCACTTGGGATACTGAGGCAGGAGGATGGTACAGCCTATTTCTATGGCTTCTTGTGGAGATTCTTGGACTTTAGTATGTGTTATGATTTGGTTTAGATGTCCCCCCAAAGCCTCATGTGGTCATAGATTTGGTGTGTGTGAAGCTGGAATTGATTTCATGATGCAAAACTAGGCTCAAGGGCACTAGGATTAAGGCTGTGAGTGCTACCCACCCTAAGTAGTCTGAGTAAGATAAAAGGCGTAGGTAGGTGCTGCTAAGGCCCTCATTGCCTTTGCAACATGTTGTTTCTCCTCTGTGATGTCTTTTTGTCATCCCTGTCTTGGAGCCAGCCAACTGTGGACTGAAATCTCTATGAACTGTAAGCCAAATAAACTCCTTCCCCTTCAACTTTGGATGTCAGGTATTTTGTCTCAGCAACGAGAGAAAAGTAGCTAACACAGTGTGACATCAGAATTACCAGGGGACTTGATAGAAGGTAGAGTCTAACTCACCGGGGCCTATTGATTCAGAATCTCTAGGCTTTCAGCCTGAAATATAAGTATGATATTATTATACAAAGAATTTGTGCTTCGTGTGTGTGTGGTACTGGGGATTAAACCTAGGGCCTCTGCAAGGAGCTATATCCCCAGCACTTTCTTATTTTTTTAGGTACCGGGGATCGAACTCGGGTCCTTGTGCTTGCACAGCAGGCGGTGAAACTACTAAGCTAAATCCCCGGCCCTTTATTTTGTATTTTGAGACAGGGTTTCACTCAGTTGCTCTGGGCTCAAACTTGCAATCCTCTGCCTCAGCCTTCTTCATACTTTATTTCTAACTTAAATACATAAGCAGTGTTTTACTTGGGCCATTTTCAGGGTTGTTTAGGCAATTGGTTACTTCAAGAAATGAGATCACATCTCCCCCTGGACAAAGAGTAGGCTTGCTTACCACTTGCTTACAAGCAGAGCTTCCTCATCTCAGCTCAGCTGCAAAGCAACCTACAGCATGTATAGCTTCCCTCTGGGCCCACTCATCTCTGTGGGATTGGGAAACGGCAGAAACCAATACAAATAAGCTGGTGGTCGTGTTGCCTGCTGTGCTGAGGGTAATAAGTCCTTTGTTTCTGACTCGGGTTTCTTGTGTTTTCTGCCAATCACCATAAATCAGTAACAGATCAACTTATTAGCTTATAAGTAAAGTAAAATCAAATTCCAAACCCAACAGCTTCGGCAAGAAAGTTTAGACGGTGATAGAGACATGGTTCTCTGGAATGGGAAGTACAACTCTGGCCGGGTTTGAAAACAAAAGAAGACTCCCTAGGTTCTAGTACCAAATGCCTCTGCGCAAGTGGAGGTAAGGAAGTGAGGATCCCCCATTGTCTTGCTTGATAATGAACTGGAGTGGAGTCAGTGTGTACAGGCTGAGCCATGAGAGGCTGCCCAAATATGGGCTAGAGGGTCTTTATCCGGAAGAAAAATATAAGTAAATTCTCGGGGTTTTAAAATTTTTTCTATTAATATACAGAGTCTGAAAAAAATGTATACAAACTTCAGGAAAAGAAAACTAGTCTGATTTTTTTTTTCAACAGATGGTGTTACCCTGGAATGGGGGACTCTAGAGGATATGTCATATATCGCAGAAAACCCAACACAGGTGATCCTTAGAGAAGAAATTGAAAATGCATGTGCAGCAGTCTCAGTGACTGAGGTGACCCAAGAAGGAGTTTGCCATCTAATAAATATCTGGAAGTTAATGGGTACCACTTTGAGCACCTCTTGTCATTGGAGAACGCAAAGGTAACTTGTATTAATCTCATGATGTCTCAATAAATTTAGTATTAAAATATTTATACAAAAATCCCCCATGCACAGCTAAAAACTACAAGGAGCTGAGCAAAAGAGAAAGAAGAAAATGCTGTGAGACAGTGGGAGACAGGGAAGAGAACTGGTGGGGAGAGCAAGCTAAGCAACAGAGAGACCTGTAAGACTCAGAATATAGTTGCTCCCACAATGACTGCACCAGAAATAGAAAAGAGCCAACCAGTTAAATTTTGCAAAGCCATCTTTGCCTCTGTAAGTGAATAGAATTTGAACTAAGTACAGAACTAAGGTGTTTTGCTCTGGATAAAAAGCGAGTGATGCCAGAAATTGGATTATCAGTTTAATTTGGTGTACCTCTGGTGAACATTAACACACCTAAAGCAAATCAAAAGTCATGAGACAATCACCAGGATAATCCAACACCTCAAGATCAGAAGTCTCGATCACACTGTGTCAACAATAAGCTATGCTAATTTTAATTTAGAATATTAAACTTTTTGGAAAATTCTTCTGAAAAAGACCAGCATTTAATGAAACAATAGTTTGATTATGACACCTACTAAGTAAACTTTTACCAAATTCTAGGCAAAAAAATATATATTTATACAAGTTTTTCTTTTCCTGAAGTGTGTATACATTTCTTTGATGGAATCTATGTTTGTAACACATAATCACTACATTCCTCTTGGGGAATTGGTACATATACATATCACATCTTAATCATTTTTACTTCCTCTTCCCCTCCTCACTCTCCCATCTTCCCCATCCCCAGATCTCCTTCCTGTTTCCACAAAGTCTACCTCCCTATTTCCTGTCATCTAGTTTTTATTTTATTCTTTAGATTATTTACATTTCAGACTTCTTATTTAAGAGAAACTATGCAATATTTAACCTTCTGTCTGATTCATTTCATTTAGCATTATGGTCTCAAAGAGCATTTGTTGTCCTACAAATGACTCGAATTTATCCTTTTTTATGGCTAAGTAATACATTTTCTTTATCCTTTCATTTGTTGATGGATATACAGGCCACTTCCAAGATTTAGCTATTATGAATTGAGCTGCTATAAACATGGGTATCCATGTATCACAGTATACAACGTCTTTAATGCTAAGTAAATCTTTTCGGCCAGCCCTGATTTCCTGGAAGATCACGGCACCCTTAGGCCAAAACCAAGCAAAGCTTCAGGAATGTTATCATGACAAAGTGGCACCAAGCACCCAATTTAAGACGGACCATTGAAAAAGGTTACTGCTGGATAGACCATGTCCTAACAAGTAAAAAAACCCAGAAGTCCTATAGCCCACCTGGAGCTTCCCATCATGCCCAATAAATTGGCTGACTTCCCTTTCTACTTACTGTGTGGGAGCAGAGTAATTAGCAGGATCCCCTGATGAGGTGGGAGAAACAAGCCCAATGTGTCTCAAGAGGGCTTATTTTATTTTGTTCATCTACAGTGCCCCAGATGCCTCGCTGCCAGGCTACATCAGACAACTGCTTGGGGAGACATTTGCTGGTGTACAGCGAATGTGTCATAGGTCCATCCCAGATGACTGCTCCACAGAGGTACAAGAGGTCCAATCGGGTCCATGAGGGGCCCCACCCCTGCCCAGGATTAAGCAGAAAGTCTGACACTGTGCATATGTGAACCCACTTGTTCTTTTATATAAGCATCTTCCCCCCACATCTTAGCGGATCATCTGTGCACTGTTTCCCTTTATGTTGCAGCATAAGTCCTAACACAGCCTCTTTTGAGTGACATATTTTTGCCTGTCTGTGATTTCTATTTTGAGTAGAGCACGCTGAGCTGCTACACTAAGCACTGGTTACACCAACGGTTACTAGGGCCAAAAGCAGCCAGCATCTGGAGCTGGTAACACTGAGGGAAGCCAGGACCAACAACGGAGAGTTGTCAGGAGCTGCCATCTCGGTGGGCCCAAGAGATCCCAAGGGCTGCTGTCGGCTGCTGGGTCCGCCTGCCGGGAGAGTGGTGGAGGGTCATCAGCACTAAGACCTGACAGCTGCTGGCATCCAGAGCTCAGGGCTGTTTACACTAAAAGAGCCACACTTTGCCTATTTGTGATTTCCATCCAAATCCAGCAAAAGAATCCTCAGCCAGTAGGTGACACCGACCATTGTCACTACAGTCCTTGACATATCTGTGCTCGATTTCTCAGTTCTGGTTCTTGGTAGGGAAAAGGTGCTCAAATTCACCTCTGGGGTTTGGATAGAGTTCCTAGTGGAGATGTGAAGCTGAAGTTCGCCTGTGTATAGAGCTCCATGATTTGGTTGCTTCTACGCTGGAATGGATAGTAGGTCTTGGGGCACAGGCTTGCACTTTCCAATCCCGTCCAGTGCTGCCACATGGAGAAGATGATGGTGAGACATGAAGATCACCCTTCCACTCGCCTCCTTTTCCTCTCCCAGATGGTCCAGCAGAAATAATAAAGAATCTGGAGAGGAGAAAGGGAAACCACAGCTTTACTTGTTAAAGGCCCTTGTCTAGCACGCTCTAGAGAAGCCGTTTCTCCGAACAACATCGCCACCTGCTGGACACATCTACCAGGTACACCCTGCCTGCTGCTACTGAAGACTGCAGCTCTTACTCTGGTACCTCCATTTTGGAGAAGTCAAGTGGAACCTGATAATTAGAAAGATGAGAAGAGATTAAGAATCCTTGCAAACCAAATAGAAATGATGCACACAGAGGAGTAATTATCCTTGGCACGATGGCACATGCCTATAACCCTAGCTACTCCAGAGACTGAGGCAAGCGGATCATAAGTTGAAGGCCAGTCTGGGAGGGCTTGTTTCAAAACAAACATTTTGTTTGTTTGTTTGTTTTTTGGTACCGGGGATTGAACTCCGGACCTTGCGCTTGCGAGGCAGGTGGTGGAACCACTGAGCTAAATACCCAGCCCGACAAAACAAACATTTTGAAAAGAGGCCTGGGTACATAGCTCGGCTGTACAGCACTTGGCTAGCATGTTCAAGGCAATTTCCTGTACACAGACACAAAAGAAAGGCAGAGGGGGAAAATAGCCAGCAGCCTGGCCACTAGCAGCACCTTTGCTTTCCATGAAACACTGGCAGCTCTGGCAGCTCTGGCTTTGGGAGAAACTGACTGAAGCAGGGATGTGAGCCAGAGGTTCCCCTAAATGCCTCGGCCTGGTTCACTGATGTTTTAACTAACTTGAAATGATGGGGTCCATTGGGCTGCTGTCGCCTCCAGCCCCAAGGTCACCATGTAAAACCAAAAGTGACTGCACTGCTCTGCTCACTGGGCACAGTGCAAGGCCATTCTCATCCTAGTCTGGCCAGCTCTTCCCTGGATGAACCTTGCCACATTTTATCAAATTGCACTGTTATTGATGGCCTTGCTCCTTGGTTTACCACATGGAAAAGTACATACATGGAAACTTAAAAACTTGCCTTTTGGGGCTATAAACTCTGGAAGTGACTCTTGGCTGCTATCTGATAGTTGGATCACTCATGTCCATGTTCACGGTGGGGACTGGTTCTCTGATGGGACTGATTGGCACCAAGCTGGCGGTCAAACATGCAACCCCAGAAGCACCTCCCAATCTGGGTTAACTGGCTGCACAGGACCTTTGACATCTTCTACTCCTGATACCTCACCTCTGTTCACACTTCTTCAAGTTACCATTTCTCTATTCCATTCCCATGTGTAGGCTCAGGCCACATCCTTATTATGGCCTTTGAAACTGAACTGTGCTGGGGAGGGGAAGGGGAAGTGCAAAGGATTAAGATGTGATATGTATGTGTACCAGTTCCCCAAGCTGAATGTAATTTTTTTTTCCCAGTACCGAGGATCGAATTCAGGACCTTGCACTTGCAACCAGGCACAGTGCAGCTGAGCTAAGTCCCCAGCCCAATGAATGTAATTGTTATGTATCACAAACATACACTAACAAAAAGTGAAAAAAAAACCCAAGAATTTACTTAGATTTTTTTCTCCTTGATGAAGGCAGAGTAAGAAGGGGGTCTTCTTACCTTCAAGTTTTTGCTATGGAAAAGTACTGGGAATTGAACCCAGGGTCTCCACACTGAGCTACCTCCCTGGCCCTATTATTATTTATTTATTTTTTTGAGACAGGGTCTCACTAAGTTGCTACATTTCCCAAGCTGGGCTTGAATTTGCAATCCTCCTGCCTCAGCATCCAAGCCAAGAGTGCTGGGATTACATGCATGCAAAATCATGCCTGGCGGCGGTGCTTCTACTGCTGCTGCTGCTGCTGCTGCTTCTCCTTCTCCTTCTTTTCAGTTTTCAGTTTTTAGTTTTTCCTTTGGATGATCCTTTCAAAGTATGAGTCAAATCATATAACTCCTCTGTTTGGATTTCACTCAACCTGAAAGTTAAAACATTCTAATGGCCTGTATGGCTTCCAACTCTGTTACTGCTCTGGCTTCATATCCTGTTATTCTCTCCCCTTACCCATTCAGCCCCTGCCATTGACTTTACTGTTATTCCTGAGACACCCCAACAGTCTCCTGCCTCGAGACTTTTGCTGCTTTTGTCCCCTCTGCTTGGAATACTCTGCCATGCGCCCTCATTCCTGGCTCCTCGCTTCATTCAGGTCTCTGCCTTTCCATGTTAAGGAGCACTCCCCAATCCCTAATATTTTAATACATGCTTGTTGTCTGCTTCCTACAATTAGAGTATGAGCCCCATGAGGTCAGAACTCTGTCATGCTCAGTGATGTAGGTCTAGCACCTAGAGTTGTCCTTGCCAATAGAGAGCATTTCTAAATATTTGTTTAAAAAAATGAATTATGACACAGTCACAGCCCACCATAGTGACAAAGGACAAACTCCTGGGCCCTTCAGACCGACAGAGACTTAAAAGTGTTTTTTGCTAAAACCAAAAAAAACAGAACAAAAAATAAAACTGTGACTCTTGATTTGGGCCTATGGATGCCCAAGGGTTGACTAAAAGCAGAACAAAGCTTGGCCTTCATTTTGGAAAACTGAGTCAAATCCCTTTTCACCTCTGCATTGAGGCATGCTAGTCATTTAAGGAGTATTTGTCTAAAAGTTGGCAAAACAAGATTTATTAACTCTACATTTACCTAGTCTATCTCATCCTTCTTCTTCAAGACTGAGGACACCAAGAGAAGAGATTTACAGCAACATTCAGTTATGCCCAGAAGTCTCCACTGCCCTTAACCTAGTGTCACATTGGATTCCAGCAGAGCCTTGTAAGACTGAGTTGGCCCCAGGCAAGAACAGTCATCTCAAGGGAACCCTACTACACCTGAAGGCATAAGGATCCCCTGGAGCTATGAAAGGAGGACAGAGATATGATCAATCAGCCCACAGCCCACCACAGCCCGCCACAGCACCCTGAAAACAGGCCAGTCTGAGCCTACTGTCTGGACATGTGCCTCCTTCAGTTCCTCAGATAGAATCCTTTTCTCTATTTTCTCTTACTTTCCTTTGTTTGCAGACTGGCTTAATCTTGGTCAGAACTGTCCCCCCTCAAACTTATTTTCTCTACTTTTCAATTAAAGCTTTTCCTTTAAGTTCATGCTGAGTATCTCAGTTTTAATTTCCATTATCACTGAAACAAGGACCCACACTAACCAGTGACAAATGGATGGATAACCACTTCCCCATCCCAAAGAGGTACAACTTCTAGACAATACCAGAGACTCAAAGACAATGGCAACCAAGGCCAGGTGGTCCTCTGCTGACCCTCACTTCACTCCTCAGTATCTTTATTTCTCAGACCCTCTGCCAGCCTAGTCACCTCCGCCCCGTAGCAAAAAAGACAACAAAAACAACAAAGTGATACATTATGTTTAGTTTTGTTAGAAGGTAGGAAAAGAGAAGAAGAACAACACCATAATCTCAATCTTAGGGTTTTTAGTACTTTAAAAATATGATGCACTTAAAAAAATGTTTAGTGAGCTTACTTCTGAAAGATGTATAATCAACTGATTCAGTTTCAGTCATTCGTAAATTTTACAATAACCACTGTTTAATGAGTTGTGTAGAGATCTGAACAATGCTTCAAAAACATTTGAAATAAGAAAAAGGCAAAGATTCTCTTTAGTGAGACAGTGATAAAAACTATCACTTTTATTAACATAGACTAATTATAATCTTTTTATTGTAGCCTCCAATCTAACTGTGAAGCACTGTACCCCTCAGAAGCTACACAACTATGCTGGATGTGGTGGTGCCCACCTGTAATCCCAGCACTCAAGAGGCTGAGGCATGAGAATCACTGTGAGTTCAAGGTCAGCCTGTGCTACATGGTGAGTCCATGGCCAACCTGAACTACATAGTGAGTGCTTGTCTCAAAAAAGACAAAAGGAAGGACTTCCAGAAAGATGGCAGAGTAATGAACAGCAGAGAAACAGCCTCTCTGAGATTTGGTGTCCAGATGTGGGAATACAGCAATGTGAGGAAGAGAAAAAGAAGGGAAGTGGGTCTCCAGGACCCAGCAAGGATCTGAAGTGAGAATTGAAGCACCCAGGGAGAGTGAAGAGAGAGACCTCAACGCAGAAGGAGGTGGCAAGCAACACTCTCTCCCTGAGCCCTGACTCATAGCATGGGAGGGGCAGCTCAAATTTGCAGACTCATGGTGACTACTGGTGACCTTAGAGGCTTCCACAGAAAAATGGGTCAGTGAACACAGCAGACTGCAGAGGCTGGTGAGTTATTCAGGTTCATATGTCCCCCGGGAGAGGGCGACTGGCCAGTAACCATCTTGGAGAGAGGCCAACTGAACTGGAACTCAGAGCAGCTGCAGGTTAGCTCCATCTATCCCATCAGCTCCCAGTGTCAGGTGAGGGAGAACAAAGTTCAAGTCAGCAGGAGTTAAGCAGCCAAGTTCAAGCCAGGTCCCAGCAAGGATATGAAGTGAAA